TGACTCTGAAATAAAATTTCTGAATAGTTCAGAGCTAATAGAACCTTTAAAGCCTGGAAAAAGGCTAAGGTATCTAGTGGGGCTGTTGTGTATTTTTTCCTATTTCTGTAGTTCCTTTACTTTTGTTGTCTGTGCTCAAGAAGATATTGACATTGAAATTCCCTTAAGATATCTCTTGTGGCATTACTTCATTGCAATTTATGAATTTAAAGCTAGCACAGAAGTATGAAAATATTGAAGTGGTTAATGGATTTGGAAATAGTAGGGAAAACTGTTACGTCATGGCTGAACTGATGATAAAGCACCTAGTGAAGGGGATGGCTGGCTCAGGAAGCACAGGTGCAATTCAGGTGCTCAGAGAGCAATTCAGGTGCTTTCCACATGACTGGAAGGGGTGAACCCTTGGTCCATCCCTCCCTGGGCTCATTTAAGGGCCTGCCTCTGAAGGAAGAATGGCTCTTGGACAAAGGTTACTCCTGGAGAAGAAATGTTCTATAGCCAGGGGCCCTCACGGTTGGTTGGTTGTGTCACCTTTTTCCTATGTGTGACTACTGATATTCCTTTACCTTATATTGTGAAGGACAGAAGCAGGTTTGCTACCTCCTACGCCAAACACTAATCTTTTCAGTATGCCTTGTGTCATGATGATTGTTCTGATGATATATACCTCATGTGCTCCACTGAACTGCTTTCTTCTCTTGAGACTCCAGAATTCTCTTAATTGTTCCAGACATTAGTTGTGCTATGAGTATCAGAATATCCATGCTCCTGGTTATGTTTTATGTGCTTGGCTTTAATTTGTAAGTAAAGGACTTATTTTAATATTCTGTTTATTTTTTCAAGTGATTTCTGGACTAGGGGTTCTTCCTAGACTTTCTTCTAGCAGCAATGTTTCTCTTCTACTTACTGATATCTTTAGAGATATTCCTTAAACTGCATTTCCTTTCTTCTTCTTCTTTTTTTTTTTTTTTTTTTTAATATTTGATTAAGTACCAATGCATTGTTACTAGGCAATTATTATAGTAGTGGCACTGAGAAGGTGTAGCAATTGTTACTTGATTAATGAGGATTGTACATGAGGCCATCAACAACACAAAGTAGTCCTGAAATCCAAAATGTAATCTTTTCTTGGTAGAATACAGAAAACTATACTTCTAAGCATTTTGTCAATGCATGCTTTTAGCACTAGCTGACTACCAGATGCCTGAAAGTATTGCTGTTCAGAGTAATTGGAGAACTGGAAAATACAAGACAGAAATTTGTGTTTTGTTATGTTATACATTGACTAAGTATCAGTTAAGTTATCAAAGCATTTAAAAACTGGTACAGAAAAAATATCAACTAAGTGCACTTTAGTTGACCATGTTAATTATTATTCAGAGACAACAGACATTATTAACTTCATCATGTTTTTTTCCCCCTGTGTTCCTGCCCACCCTGCTAAGTAGTTTGCTGTACCTCTCAAGGGGCCTACGATTTCTTCTTTGAAAATTTTTGTTGCTTTAGGGAGTACCTCATTGTACTTGATACAGCTTTCTCCATTTTGCTACTGACTTGTCAATGTTTACAGTGCATGAAAGTGACTTAAGCCTCAGGCTTCTTTCAGTGGTTGGTTTAAGGCTCTAAGCTGAGTCACTCCTGTGAATTTGGAAATGCAATTTAAGGACTTCTTGGGATAAATCTTTGCTGGGATTTGTATCATCTGAATTCTATTGTAATAGCCTGTGTCTCTCATCATGAAGATACGATTCTGAAGGCACGAAGTGGTGGCTAGTGGTATCATACTCTATTGTTTTAAAACCAGAGGATTTCAGTTAGATGTAATTCAGCAAGGGAGAAGGACTTGTGCTAGTAACAGCAAAAATAAGAATGTGAGAAGAATAATGGTGTCTTTAAGGAGCTTTCAGGCCTTGCATTTCCAGCTGTTCAGTACCGCAGTGAGGGAAGAGAACTGTATCAGTTTCTGCACCATAAAAAGCACAGGCCTTTTTCTGCTCTGCTGGATTATCGGAATCAATAATTCCACATTTTCTGCACACTGTGAAAGTAAATGTCTGATCTCAGTCATGTCATCATATGGCAGATCAAAGCCCTCGGGATCAAAGAGATTAAAGAAGCACAGGTTCTCAAAATTGGAAAACATTAGATGAGTTTCTCAGAAATTTTAATTAATGAATATCTATTAAAAACAAAAAAGTCCCAGTGTGAATAAATCTCCCATTTCTTTTTGTTTCTTTCCAACCATTTCATCCTATTTGTAGCACATCTTTTTTTTTTTTTTTATGCTACCTGTTTCAAAAGCTTAAACTCAAAATAGTTGACAGTAAATTATTTGTGATGTCTCGTATTTCTGTCTGGAGGCTGTCTTGTCCCTAAAATAATGCTTTTTTTAAGCATTGAAGCTGAAGCACAGTCACTGAAGATTGGCACATCACTTTTTTTTTTTTTCCCCTCAACAGAGCTCACATTGCCATGACGAGAAATGGGGGAGAGATGTTGGAGGTGGCTAAGTTGCCTTCGTGTAGAGGAGGGGTATGCCTATATGAGTCTGGCCCTGATCAAACCTACTGGGATTATTCCATCTCTTGCATTATTACAGCTCTGAACGTTGCAGTCAGTACAGGATACTTTGTAGGAGGTTAAAATAGTAGTGTAAGGTGCAGTAATTTGCAAATGACCCAAAGGATTAATCACATGCAGATTATGGATAACTGGATCTGCAGACCCAAGTCTCATGTTATCATGGATTTGCTGTCACTTTTGTCTCTAATTTCATTGTTTTTTAATCGGGAAAAAAATCCTTGTGTTTCACCATTCATCAGTATTAGTTATTTCACCAAAATGAAACATTGTAACTAAACTCAATTTCGATTTTGTGTGAGGTTGAGAAACTAATGAAGGGCTTTTGCTGTCACTTCCAAAAGGAGATCATTTGCCAATTTCCCTCATTCTCCTAAATATGCAACAAATTACATAGACAGATGTAATAAACCAACACAGTTACTGGTGGCCTGACCAGGCAATCTCTTTCCTACAGGGCACTATTCAGACACATCTTTCTCTTTGCCAAAGTAAGGCTTTGCTAGTAAGTTGGACTCCAGTACCCTGCTTCAAATGAAGCTGCACAAGGGGATCCCTTCAAAGAGGCCAGTCACATCAATAGCGTGAAAAGAGTTCCTGGGAAGACCAGGGTTGTTATCTGAGGTGGCAGGGGGAAATAAAAATTAAAAAAAATTCAATCTGAAGCCACCATATAAACTATTTCCCTTTGAACTCTTCCCTTCCCAAAGGTGTTTTTTATGGATTTCAATGTGAAATGAATGATCTCCTGAATGACAAAGAGCAAACTAAACAGGCCAACCTTGAGTTAATAAGTTGCTGGTTATTTATTATAACAATGATATGTCTGTGCTTTCGAGTATGCATAATTAATAAACTCCCTTACCACAGGACACCACTGTTATCCATAATATTGTCAAAACCATTCAAGTACTTCTCTACAGAAGTAGAACTGAATAGAGGTAAAACTTTTCCTTTGTCTTGCAAAAATAGAGCTATCAGTCTGAAAATAACATCTATACACTGTACAAGCTGGGCTGTAATTGATTTTTCTCACTTTTATAATGCATTTGGGGCCTAATTTTTGAAGGATTGAAAAATGAAATTAGAGAAGCCTGTGTGTCCATGCTGTCCGTAACTATGTTTTAGTTACATGCTTTTATTCTGGGAGATTTCAGTCATATCCTCAGAATTTCTGCTGACTTCTGTTTTGTTGCCTTGCTTTTGTAACCTGAGAACTGAAGGTTACAACTCAGGGGAACTTTTCAAGGAAATATTTTTCACTAGGAAGTATGGAATCAGCTAACCAGTACATTTTGTGAATGTAAATGAATTTAAAAGGTTCTTGTTTGATTGTGATTTTTTTTTTTTTTTTTAGATCAAAGCATTTGATATATGCATATTTCAAATAATTTAAAGATTGACTGACTTCTAAAATTTTACTTTGTTTTGAACATTGCAACATCAAAACAACAACAAAAAAAAGAAAATTTGAACTCCGTATCTTCCTTGAGAAACTTTGTGAGAGTGAACTGAAAATGTAATCATTTGCTAAGCTCTATTTTGTTTATTTGTTTTTCACAATGCCATAATGTTTCCTAATCTACTTGCCTTGAAAATTCTGCTGGCAGAATGCTGGATCTCCACGTATGTCCAAAATCCAAAGCAGTCATGTCTGTGTGTGTTTTGGGGCTAATTCATAAGGAAGTTTATGATGAGAATGAACAATAATATTATGCCTGGTATGACTGGTTAAAAAAAAACTGTTTAAAAAACTGCTAGTACTGTAAGTGACAGTAGCAGCACTCCTTTCAGTAATGAAGTGTAACTGTTTCCACAGCTGGATGGTTCATTCTCTGGGATGAGGGCTGTGCCCATGGAGGGCTTGCAGGGTGTTGTGTCCACGGCTGCAGTTCTGCTGCTGCCAATATTGCTGCAGTATTGACAGTAACAATTGCTGAATGCTCAAATACATGCAGTAATGCAGAGAAACTATAAGGAGTATTTTCTAATTTAGAATATTTAAAATATTTTAAATCAAGTGTCCTGCACAAAAGCAGGCGTGTGTTACAGGTAGATGGCAAAAATAATCATCCTGCAGCTGGAATGAAGGGTTATTCTGACAATTCAGAGCACTTCCATTTAAAGTGCCTCCAAGAGAGTAAGCACATCTGTGCCACTGCTGCAGAAAGAAAAGGCAGCTCTTTGAGGGGCTTACTGTGGTCACTCTGCAGGTGAGAATTGTGTAACTTGCTGGGGCACAGGAGGAAAACGGAGCAACAAATGCCACCACAAGCCAGCACCCAGAAGGTTCTTTCATTTGATGTTGTTTGGGTGAAAATATTAATGGTTGAGTCAACGTTCCATTTTGAGAAGTGTGGGTGTCACAGTTTAGATATGACTGCTAAATGGCGGAATGCACCTGAACAACAGTTTACCACACCAACAAACGAGGAAACCAGTCTGCAAATGTGTTTTTTAATTTAAGCTTAGGAGTTAAATGGAAATGAAATAACATATTTGGAACTAATGAACCAAACAACACTAGAACTCTAATTAAGCATCCAGCATTAGGTGGTTTACAAAGAGTAAAAGGTGGCTCTGCTGAACTAACATTGAGGCACACGCACAAAGGGCTGGAACAAAACACGTTAATTAAAAGATAGCGTCAAAGGGATGGCATGTTTTGTTGAAATGATGGTCTCCTGCTGCTCCGTAAGTGCTGAGGTGACATCCAGGCATCCATCAAAATGAAGGCCAGCCGAAGCTGGCAGATTTAGAAAGGCGAGATGTTTGCAGCTTTCACACAGGGGCCGTGCGCCTCCTGAGCGGTTCTGTGTGCCTGGCGGGTACCGCTGCTATCGATGGGCAGTTTCTCGTCACGGTGCCGCTGGCTTAGCCGTGCAATTGCATAAGGGATGCAGTTTGCGTGCGTCCAGGCAGGCGAGAAGGCCCACCGCGCCAGCCCGCTCTCCCGCCTTCCCGAAGCCGCCCTCCGCCCCGCCCTCCCGGGCCCGGCCCCTCTTTGTCTCCGCCCGCGGCGGGCGGGCCCTGGGGCTGACTGTGCCGGGCCGCGGGGCGACCCTTCCCCTGCGCGGCCTCGCGGCGCGCCCCGGCCCGGCGCGGGGATGTGAGTACGGGCGGGGGCTGCGGGGGGGCCGAGCCCGGCGCCGTGGCGGGGCCGTGCCGGCGGCGGGCGGCTCTGAGGGGTGGGCCGCGCGCGGGCCCGGCGGAGGCCTGCTCGGCTTCGGGGCCTGGCGGCGGGAGGGGAGGAGCCGTGAGCCGGCGAGGGTAAGGGCTGCGTCCCGTCCTCCCGGCTCCTGCGGTCGGGGCGGGTTCTCTCACAGGTGAACGCTGTGCAGGTGGGAGCACCGCGCCTGACTGCGTGTGTGTCCTGTCCGAAAGTGTTTGCACGTGAGACTGGAAACATCTCTGGTTGAAGTTATGTTCTGAGGCAAAGCTTGATGAACTTGGAAGGCTATGAGAGAGAAGTAGATGTTTCCAGTAATTCGTGTCTGCAGTGAACTGTGTATGCATAATTCACTGGCAGTACTTTCCTTTCTTCCTTTCCTTTCCTTTCTTCCTTTCCTTTCCTTTCTTCCTTTCCTTTCCGTTCTTCCTTTCCTTTCCGTTCTTCCTTTCCTTTCCGT